CTGGTGCCTACCTTTTCGAAAACTGGAATTTTAGTGATCCCAGGGTCTTCTGAGAGCCCTAAGTGCATAAATCTGTAGAACCCCTCGAGAGAGAATTCCTAACCACCACCCTAATCAAGAGCCTATTCCCAGCAGTGAGGAACAATTCGTACAAGTAATTCCAAGCATGACAGTGCAGACTTGGCGTGAGCATCGGGGAACTGCTGAGATAGGGGGCCCGAAGACAGAATCGGAGGCGAGATATTCCGGGACCGGGCGGAAGTCTGGCCACTGTGCAACTCCTGCCCACAAATCACATGCATGCCAAAAATCCGCGGGAACCTCAATTGACGTTTTTCATTAGCAACCTTTTACTGGTTGTACTGTACTAGGATACAAGGGTAAGTGCGGCGATGGGCCACAAAATGTCTGAGATTATTGCCTATCCCGGGTGTCGCCAGACTTTTTTCCCCCACACAAAAAAACCGCCCAAAACACGTTTCTCTGCGTACAAACCCTCGCTACAATATATGGGTGTCGCCCGACTAACTGCACCCCCCGAGTACATCTTAGAACTTGCAAGGATAATACTATTACTATGATATCACTTTATTTATTTTGTTAAATCCTCAATGCTATTTGCAACCTTACAGCTAATGAAAAAAAATATTGCAGTTGTATAATAAATTTTTTTCTACAAAACTCTTTATCTCAAAAAAATTTCCCCTTGTTTCATAAACAAATAAATGGTAAAAATGACAAAAATATATATATATATATTTGAAGACAGCTGATATTATGAAGTCAGAGTCATATATCTTGTAAAAGGAAAATGTAATAGAAGTACTAGTATAGAAAGATTTATCATACATTTTATAACACTGGCATGTGAAAAGCAACTTTATAAGCCTGACTTCTTACAGATCACATTTCTCCATGGCTTCAGATTTAGAGCCAGATTGAAACATTCTGGACATAGCTGTTATAAATGGTAATGGAGCAAGGTAGATTCCATATGACTTAAAATCTTGAGTTATAAGTATGTTAAATTTCATACCTGACTTGAATAAGAGTCAGGAGGATTTACATAACAAGCAATAGTAAGTTATAGGTTATTATATTTACCTGGTTGTGTTGATGACTCATAGTTATAAGTCACATGACATCATAACTTTTGCACATAACTATTAAGAATACTTAAAACAATATGTAAAATAAAACATAAAACAAATTGCTAAACTGAATATCAGTTCCAGTTACATTTACACCCCCTATACTTTAATACTTACATAAAAACAATAATATATAAATATTAAAATAATTGGTACTATTTAAAAACTAAAACCTACTAATAAAGTCAAGTTTGAAAGAGAAACTTGAATAGGTCAAGCATCTCAAAGAATAATAGAACATAATATAAGAACACGTAATTAGTACAATAGTATTATGACTTATTGACATATAGGTAATAAGACTATCAGAATTTTAGAGAGTAGTATATTATATAAGTATGCTAAGAGTTGTAAAGTAGCAGGTGGGCAAAAGTCTTAGTAATTTAGCAGATTTGCACCACAATTCCCTGTTTTAAACTAATTTTAACTAACCTCCAACACTAAACCTATACAGAAAACATTCTACAAACCATTCAAATATTTCTCTAGGCATGTGAATACTATCCTGCAACTATTTACAGCATACTCTGACTATTTTTCATCAACTTATAGCTCTACACAGATTGGTGCCAATGTATTATTATAAGATATTTCTGGGGCAGTGTTAAGAATCCTACCGAGTAGGGCCTAGCGACAGGTAATGATACTTCTCTGTAAGATGATAGCTCTCAGGCCTGTGCCTACGCGATCCAGATAGTCCAGTCCTGTGACTACTATCGTGTTCGCGCCTATCTCCTTATTCTTTCCCTTAGTCCTCACTCAGGACTTAATCGTTTGACGTGGGAGGAGAAATAGTTTTCTCGCTTAAGAGGAAAGACAATTCTCGGGTTTCTCAAGATAAATCTTAAAGAGCGTAAAGGTAGGTTTTATTGATAATAACTTAAAGGTAGAAAATAAACAAGAAGAATGTGTGAAGAGCTCATACTCGGGGTCCTAGTGACCCTTTATATAGTCGCTCTTCACCTGGTGTGACTCACACCTCGTGTCACGCGAACCCTGTGACTCATATCCCTGAGTCATATGAAATCCATCAGATGACTTCAATGAGTCGCTGCGCAACATACCTAAACCAATCAAAACATAATAACCAAATCAGGTACGCAACTTGCGTCACCTGAGTGAAACCCATGACTCATAAGTATGAGTCATGTGCGAAAATCATAACATCATGTGACTCACAACTGTGAGTCACGAACAGGTAAACATAATAACCTATGGCACACTAGTGTGCGTCATGTGAAATCCCAACATACCTATAACTCGGAAATCCGAGCTATGTGAAATCTGCCTTGCTTAGTCACAGTTTGTGACAGGCAGCTATCATAGTAAAGTAGTGAGAATAATAATTTTTAAGAAATGGTTAAGCTTTCTAAGCTTGTAGCATACTCAGTTGGTAATTAATAGGCTTCAAATTACTTATGAGATATTATGAAGATAAAATTACTTTGAATCAGGAATTTGGGAAAAAAAAAATTTTATTTTCAATGAAATACCATCAATTGAAAAGAGTGGTTTTCACCCTATTTGGGTGTAAAATGGTCCAATTACCCAGACTTTTACCTACTTACTTTAGTAATAATTTATATAGGTTATAGTGATAGTAAGAAGATTATTTAAGAAAATATTTTAGAGATCAGTTAGTGCTTTATACAGCTATCTAACTTTATTTACTTTCAAATACTTTCATGTATACAATAGGGCTTTAGATTCTAACTAAGAAAACTACTTGGAAGAATAAGAGTATAATAAAAGACTAGTAGATACTTAGTACTAGAAGAAAATTGAGTTTCAAAGACACTTGAAAATTAATAGAATAATCTAACTTAACAAGTACATATATATAGTACAGTACAGGTATTAGAAATACTTTATTATTGTTTATTATATAGTTCAGATAATTGAAATTATAATAGAAACTTATATGAATTATATAATTTTTATTAGAAAATTTGTACATAGTCTATAAATAGTATGCTGTTGGAATAAACCTAGTTTGTAATATGAGTACACATTTGTTTTATGCAGGGATTGATTTGAAATAAGTAATAATATTATAGTGTTATTATAATATAAGTTAAATAAAAGTTAGCATTTCTTTCAGAATACTAGGTTTCTGATATAGTACTAGTTTCTATTAAATTGAGGACTGCATGGTATATAAAGTAGAGTATATATTGTAGGTACAAGTCTTACTTTCAGAGTTATATGTTATTAGAAATCCTACATTGATTGCTTTGATCAGGAAATTAAAATTCTACAAGCTTCTTAGAATTATATAGAATTTGTTTTGAAAAATAAATATAATTAAAGTCTATCAATAGATTTTAAAAAAGAAATATCAGAAGAATTGGTAATAGATAAATGATACCTTGGATCATACCACTTTCCTATAAAAAATATGTAGTGCAATACCTTCTTAACAAATTTTTAACTACTAGCACTTACATAAAGCTGACAAAAATTACACAATTTTTCATAGAAATAGGCCAAGCAACTATGAAGCACATAGTGCTACTCTGATTAATTCTATCTTCTTTCCGGATGGGTTTATAGTCCTCAAGCTCATGCGATTTTATTGCAAAATAGCAGTTTACTCGTGACTTTTGGTACGGGGTCGTACATGGCACATAAATTTACCAAGGGAACTATACTCTCATGCACTTATGCAAGCAGTTTTATCACCGTTTTTTTTGCACCTTGATTGTGAGGTTGCGAGGTGTTGAAAAAAAGTGTAAAACTTACTTAACTATTTTTACCGCATGTGTACGGTGCTTGTACCCATGAGAGAACATTTGATATGCCGTAGAACCAAAAATACAAAGATACCAGTTAGCTATAATTGGATGTTGTATCGTAGTACAGTCCCCGCACATTACCTACCGGTTGTGGGGCGCTGTGTATATTGCGGTCCTTTTGTCCCACCCCAACTTGGACCTGAGCATAGTGTTTTCCCTCTCCGGCAGCCAAGAGGGAATACCCGATATCTTGCGATGCACGTCTATCCACCTCTCCTAGACAAGAGGTTTCCATACCCGATCCGGGGGAGACAAAAAATCTGTGAGTATCAGAGCACCAACACCACCTCTACCCACCCTATTTTTCCTTTGGTACTTCATGCTTGGGATAAGTATCCGAGTACTTACGGGTAGGCTGCTCTAACCGCCAGATGTAGAGATAAACCTGCCGACAACCGTACAGTATCCCGAAAACTATTGGGATTCGGAAGGTCCTCCGGCTGGGTATTGTCTCGGTTTAGGAACAAAAGCTCCTTAGAAGGATTGTTGTTTTATTTACTCGGTATCGGGTTTGCCTTCTAGGTGTGCTAATATCTCATAAGCCTATGGTTAAACTTATCGTGGAAGGCGGGCCAGCTTCGGCTAATAATCTAAGACTAGATTCGGGAGGTTTTACGGTCCTGTACAGCGTCATGGCCTAGCACAGACATCGAGATACAATACGACACCCGTCACACTCCTTATTGTTTGGTGTGCTTCCCGAACCCCGTAATATTGCTTTGGCAAAAAATAATAATAGTGGGTGGTAGGTCCTAATTAAGTGCCGTGCATGCGATGTGCGGGACCTGCCTAATGAGGTCCTCCATCAGCAATAGCTGTGTGCTGTGAGGCGGACATTTTGGTATGGTAGGAGGGGGGTCGTGGTGCTGAGCGATGGAAAGGTGTAGTGGTTGGCGAGTCTACCCCTCCAATCGGTGGTCCTCATCCTTCATGAAGAACTGGAATAATTGAAGCCCGCTTGAGGACATCCAGAATTCCCGCATTGAATAAAGGGGGGGATCACCCCGAAAGAATCTCACCTTCAGTCCTTATCTATCACAGGTAAGGGGAATCACAAAGAACATTCCTTACTGAGAGAGCCGAGTTCAACGCCCTACCCTCAAATTCAATTATTCCACATTTTACAGTTCTCGCGGGTGGTCCGGGTGCTCCTTCTCCCTTCGAAATATTCCAAGTGCGAGAACTTGGTTCCTCCCATTTCCTAACTTGTCACCATCACTCCAGGTACGGGTGCGGACAGAGAACTTTTGCTTCACGATTTGGTCCTTCTATTTGTTTCAGCAAAAAAACTCCGTTGCCATGCAAGGGTTTGTCCAGAAATCGGGGAGAGCCCGGACTAGCCGCGTCTCTCCCGCACACTTAAACGCGCTCCCGCGCCTAACTCCACCTCCACCGCTTCCTCCGACCTTACCAGGAGGGCAAGAAAAGTACGAGGTGGTTATTGTGGGCTCGTAAGCTCCTCCTATCCAATCCTAGCTCCGCATACACTCACGACCCATCATCAGCGGGCCAGCCGGAATCTTCGCCTCAGTCCTCCTCGCTCGCTACGGCGTCACAAGCCTCCTAACTGTAGACGAGAAGCATTCCCAAGCAGAGATTGGGCACGCTGATGGCCTGCAGCCACGCACCCTGGAAGTCCTTCAATCCCTCGACCTTGCGCATGAGCTCCTCACTCAGGGGTGCCAATTCCATGAAGTGGGCTTTTGGAACGCCGGTCCAGGGAATAAAGGCATTGTTAGAACTAACCGGGTGCCGAATATTTCGGTGCCTGCTAGGTTCCCGCATGAGATTACGATCCATCAAGGAAGGATTGTGAAAATTCTGAACGAGGATCTTGAGAGGAATGGTGGGAGGGTGCAGCTGGGTTGGAAGGTTATCGGGTTTGAGATTGATGAGCCGGCGGAGGAGGGGGGATTCCCTGTTGTCGTCAGGATGATCAGGGCTGGAAAGGAGGGGAATGGGGAGGAGCGGGTCGTTCGGTGTAAGTACTTATTTGGAGCAGATGGAGCGAGGAGTGTGGTCAGACAGGGTATGGGGCTACAGCTTGAGGGGGATCATACGGATCATGTTTGGTGTGTGCTCACTGGTTCTTGTGTGGATGCCATATCACTGACTGAAATGCGAGGGGTGTAATGGATACTGTCGTGAAAACACCCTTTCCAGATATCAGGAGGAAATGCGCTATCGTGAGTCTGCCGCCGTACTCTCCCAAGGACTTGGTTCAGACTAAAGAAGGAAATAGCACTCTCCGGAAGGTTCGATCATGATCATCCCCCGAGAGCGCATCTCCCCGAAGCAAGCAATTACAAGAATATACTGCCAAATAGAAGGTGAAGTGGAGAGAGACCAGGATGTCAACAAGTTCAGGAGGAAGACCGACAAGCCGGCGATCGGAGATATCAAACGCATCGCGAGAGAGCGTCGCAAAAAGACCTCGGCTCAACAAATCCAATCACAGACCAAGAAAGTGCTATCTCCTTATAGTATCGAATTTGGCGAGGTAGAGTGGTGGGTGAGTTCACCCTTGTAGTTCATCGCCGGCTTGAAGAAAATGCGAGTGCTTAATAGTATATCTCAAATAGGCCGCTTACCAAATCGGCCAACGTATCTCCCCGCGGTTTTCCCAGTCCGATTGCCACGGCACTCTTCGTGTGCACATCGCCGGCGATGCCTGCCACACCCACAGCCCGAAAGCTGGCCAGGGTATGAACGTCTCCATGATGGATGCGTACAATTTCTCTTGGAAAGTGGCGCATGTGCTCAACGGGCTCACTCCGCCAAATGTTGACCTATTGTCTACCTACCAGTATGAGAGGTTGGATATCGCTCGGCAGCTAATCGATTTCGACCGCGGGTTTTCTAAAATGTTCTCTGGACGGATCGGGGATGATCATGGACTTACGCATGAGCAGTTTCAGGACGCGTACGCGAAAATGTGCGGGTTCACGAGTGGCTGTGGGATCGAGTACCAGGAAGGAATACTTGTGAAGAACGGCCGTGGACCGCTGAAGGAACGGGGGAGAGAAGTTGAGTATTTGACGCCAGGGAGGAGGACGGTTAATGCTAAAGTGATGCGGTTTTGTGACGGGAATCCTAGGGATATTCAAGATGGTGACTCTTTGCCTCTAACCCTTCTTCCGCCCAGATGCTAACGCTCAGAAGACCTCCCATCAACAGCCCGTTACAGAATTTTAACCCTGCTCCCCACCTCATTTAAACACTCTCCCGACAAATACGCGGACCTCCTCACGAATTTAACCTCAAGAATACCCTCGGCATTCCCCCCATCTATGGTTGAAGTGCTCATTTTCTTCCCAGGTGAGCGAGAGAACCTAGAATGGGTTGACTTCCCCTCCAGTGTAAAGGAGGAATCAGAGTGGCTGGTTTTCGGAGATGGGTTTAGGGAGCTATATGCTGCTTGGGGGGTCCACGAGGAGGTTGGAGCATTGGCGGTCGTGAGGCCTGACGGGTACGTTGGAGCTGTGGCGGCGGTGAATGAGGTTGCCGTAGTCGAAAATTGGTTGGGGAGAGTGTTGGCCAAGGTGGGAACTCTTGGAGTGAGAGTGCCTGGATCTATGCAGTAAGAATCCACCCCGCTAGAGAGATGATGACCAATTTATTAACGAAAAGGAACCCCACCATCTAGGAGGAGCAGACCCTAGCTACAAATGCGGGTGCGGATAGGCTAGGATGTTTTGGGACGAGTAGTAGTTTCCTAACCTGTAACAAAACCAAAAGAGAAGCTCAAAAAAAAGTAAAGGAGGGAAAGGAAAATAAATTGATAGAATGTTATAGTGCGAGCGGTTCACAATATCCCCTAGGCTGAAAGAAAAGTTCCGACATGTGGATGAGCGATTCTGTATACCAACATATGATTTACAAGGGCTAGCAAATAGAAAGCATTGAGAATAGAGTTTTTCCAGTATCCTTCTCATATGATTAATATCTTATAAATTTAGAATACCAAGAAATTATAAACCGTAAGAAATCGAATAAACGGGCCATGTGCTTTGTATCATGGTCTAGAACCCCCCCCCCTCTGGAAAAGGGCGAGAAATGGACCAAAAAGGCTTCTCTGAAATAAATAAAAAAGAAACAGAACACCAGACCCCACAAGGAGAGAGAGGCAAGTCCAACGCCCAAGCACATGGTCCCTTATCTGTGCTTTTATGGTAGTCCGAGAGACAGATATAAACTTCGAATTAAATACAAATCACTATAACTATGGTATAGATTATTCGGGATCCAGTATATATCCGTAACATATCAGTGACTTCTGTGTTTACGTTTTACTGAGGCTTGGAGGTCATGTAAACCTTAAGATAGACCACGATAATATACTTTTATAAAGTATTTAGTTATGTAAACTTTCAGGTAAGTAGATTAGGGACAAAATCTAATGCGTCAGGAACAAGTGACAATTAGCAGAGAAACTTTACACTGAAGTTATTATCGTTTGTCATATATTGCTCTAGACCAGTGTTCCCAACGGGCTAGGCCACTGATAGGCCGTAGGCCCAGCCAAGGCAGGCCGCTCCGACAATGAGCCTAGGCGGATACAGGCTGAACTCGATCAGCCTGCAAAAGCCTATCGGGCTGTAAGTGGAATTTAGAGCTGGTTGTTTTAAGAGCGGCTCGGTTATTTACAACTTTTATTGTGATCTATTATTTTATCTATATCCTTTGTTGTCAGTTGAGGTAACTGCACAATAATTGATTCACAATCAATTCAACAAAGTCCAAGCAATCTACCTCCAAGTACTCAAATATAGTCCTATCTCACAATCCTTCTTTCCAATTCAGCTTCTTCCAAATGAATTCTATTAAATCCATCAGTGAATGTACCTACTATAGCTGACCCAGTCCTATTGGGCCCCGGGGATGTTTATCAACTATAAGTAAATCCATTTCACTACCCACACATAGGTTAAGTGCATAGTACTATTAGCAATCTTACTGCGACTCATTCTAGTCTATTAATACTAGTGTGTAGGAGCTATATAATAATTGAAATCTTACCAATAGCTAGCATTAAAATATGTTAACTGGAAGTTTTAATTAAGTTTTCTTCAATGTTCTTTTGATATACCAAATTCTAATACTATTGTATTTAAGTAATTAGTAAAATAGTAATCAAATAAGAAATAGTTAACAATTTAACATACTTTAAAAATATGTTTGAGTAAGTATCTTTATTTCTACTTCTGAAGTGACATATTATAAGTGTTCTCCCCTCTTTATAATTTTTTTTTCACTCTCTATTTGTTCACCTGAAATATCCATTTATACTCAGGAAACCTCTCTGTGATACTAGGCTAGTTATTTATTAAACACCAAAATCATTAATATGAAAAATAGTTATTAAGGATCCCCTTCAGTTTCTAATAGGTATAGTCTAAATACTAGTTCTAAGCAATATTAAATACTGAACTAACAAGAGGCATTGGTGTAAACACCTGCTGGGATCAAAAAATAAGAGGAAGAAAATAAGATATAGAGTTCCAATAGATCTTGATCTTGTAATAATTGAATTTTACTTTTATATCTATTGTATTTTATTTTATTCCTTCCTCAAATTTTACCTACATATGTATCATTTACGATCAAATTATTCAGGCTGTTGGTTATGTACTCATTATAATATTTGCTATTAAATTTTATTTTATCTCCTTCCCTTGAATACATATGGTTGTTATGTAAACTTGAAACTGGAATACTGGTAACTTAAAATAAGGTTTAAGGTGTCCGGCAAGTTCTGCTGCCTCAACAGGCATATACAGCACTTAACCAAAAGAAAAAAAACCCCCCTACCCGTACTTTGCTCCTAGAAGTATCTTCGTCTACCTGTTTTTTTTTTTTACAAAAATTCCTTGTTGCCAACTAGATAGAGATCGGATTTTTGCCTATCTTAAGGACTCAGCTTGGACCCATTCCCACTATACAAGAGAGGGGAACCCTGGGTCACACACCAGAAAGGAAAGAGCGGTCATTTGTGACCGGCTGTGCAGTGCCCGTAAGGCTATCAGCCATATCCCTGCTCTGGGACGTCACCGTATGATGTAAGTGGGCTCAAACCGGCTCCTCAAAACAGGCCCAATGTGATCTTGAACTACCGGTACCGTAGTTAACCACAAGAAATGTTTTTTTTAAAAAAAAGTACTGAAAGGAAGCAAATTGAAAGAACAGGCCACCACTTTTTCTTTTTTAATCAAATGTTGTACAAAAAGTAGTTCAAGAATGAAATGTGAAAATTTGGTGAGAGTGAAACAAGTGCTAGAATATATAATACCTAGTGACATGACAAAAAGTTACTATAGCAGATGGATGACTAGGACAAGTATATGTTGTGCTTCCTTAATTCATAATTCACAATAGGACCTTCTATGATACCTTCTTTAAACACTTTTTTATATTAACCAATATACATAATTCTGTTTGTCTCTGTCTTATCCACTATTCCGCTCATTCCCAGAAGGTATACCATACGGTATCATTTGGCCTTCTTCATCATGTCTTGGCATGTCTTGGCATATATGTATCGGTAGCAACGGAGCTGGGGTTCCACCGGAGGACCCACCTTTAGGCACTTTGCACCATAGATTATTAAGGCCGGAGCACTACTAGCCGTCGGTCCGGTGCTGCTTCCGAGAAATCATAGACGGACCGGAGTGCTCCCAATTCTGGTTGATGCTGTGAGGCTGGTCCGGAGTGGGATACCGGTACATTATTAAGGAATAGTGAGTAATAAGTATTGGAAATGGCTCGAGGGCTCTCTGTCTAGGTGGAAGAGGTGGGAGGGTTAGTGCTCTTCCCAAGAATTCCTCCTTCCTTCTGGTTAATCAAAGTTTTAGTTTTAGCAAATATTACTATCTTTTGTTAGTCAATACCACCAAACCGGTTATTTGATAAGATTTTCGAGTAAACACATAACAGATAGCTCCTAAGGAATAGGGGATGATTTACATCTCTCTAGTATTGTCCTTTAGGGTCATGATTGCGCCTAGGCTACCTTATGTTGTGAAACCTACCAACATGGGTCTCCAAAACTCTCCCTGGCCCGACGAGAGAGGAGCTACTCTACATCATTAGGGAATATAGCTTGCTCATGAATATTTGTTAGGTGAAAGCTTGGTATAGGACTATCCCCATTCCTGTACCAAGTGAGAAACACTGGATACATCTTTCCTAAAGGCTTGCCCACCAGGGAAACCTCTGGGGTTAGCAACCCATGAACGGAGATAGGCAAACCTGGGTGGAATGAGATTTCAAAGTTTAAAAATTATGGGTCCCCTGGTGGATGAGTCTGGGTAGGTATGCCGAAATCACCAGATCCTGGTCACTTAAAAGAGAGTGGTCCAACCATCATGTCTCACTCCCGAATCTGGCGGACCATTGCTGCTGTCGGGGGGACTGCTTCTACATGCACTCTCCGGGGACGCCCCTCTTTGGGTAGGGCCTATCGCCCCAGCTAAGATTTGGGTCATTTATTCTAAACGCTTCCAGCGATGTATCCCACATTTCCCGCAATAGATCTTTTTTTTCCCCCTCCCGTGAGAAGATATTCGAGCACTTGATTCATCATTTAGGATACGCTCCCAACCCCCTAATTTCAACTATTAGAACACATCATCCCCCCCCCCAATGCCCCTGTGGTGAATATTTTAGGACTGGAATTGAGAAAAGAGAGGTCCAGGCGGCTTGCTGCACTTGCAAACCAGCCAGGCCTGCTGGGTAGCTAACCATACGTTTACAGATCGCGCCCCATACCGTTCCAGTTATCTTCACTCATGCACCGGTAACGCCTGAACGTCCCCCTAGTTAATGGGGCGTTAGGACAGATAGGTTATAAACCTCTCAAGATGTGAGATAGGAGTATTCCTATTGTCTCCCTTCTATTTGGGAGCATTGGCTAACAAGTAATCTTGATTAATGGCCTAGGACACTCCACGGGGCCTCTTATGGGGTCCTCCTCCGGTGGCACTGCACTTTTGTCATATTCATCCCGGAATCTATTATGATGCCCTAGATGAGCTATTGAGTTTGATGTTTAAAAAGGAATTGATTTAAGAGAAGGTGATAAGTTTAGAGTACGAAACATAGTTATCCCGTGGGTCTCCTTCAACGATACCTGGAATCCCTGCCTGCCTCTAACCCCGTCTCGCTCTAACCTCGTTTCGCTCTACCCCCAAGGCCTCCACGGCGACGGCCTCTACCCCCCCTCTTCGAAACCCCCGCATAGGCCCTAGTCACCGGAACAGGAGTCCTGGCCCCGGCGGCAGGATCCTCCGTAGTCTGGCTCTTCGACCTCTCCGCAGCGGTCCCCTCGATGACGGAGTCGACCGCAACAGAACCCCCTTCCTCCCCTGGGGTGCGGTTGGCGGCCAGCACGTTTTGCGCGGACTTCTGCGCTGGCTTGGTAACGACGGCCCTCCAGCGCTGGGGACTTTGCGGAATCGAGCAATCCTCTTCCCAGATCACGACTAGTGAAGGCGGGGGGTTTATCTCGCGGGCCGGTCTTTTTGGTGGTGTACTGCTGGCTGACCCCGGGGGCGTGGTTTGCGTCCAGGCATTAGCAGTAGTAGCGCCTACGGTAAGGTCTCGATTCCCCACCCCACCCGCTGCTTCCTCCGCCTTCTTAGCCCTGATCGCCTCTAAGACCTTGCGGATGGCGCCCTTGACGGCATCCCTGTTTCCTCCCTTAATGCAGAGATGACAGGCCGTGAGACAGGCCGTGAGAGCCCTGAAAGTCTCAGTGCTGGTTTCGGTGGCTAGGCGCAGGTAGACAGTTATTTCCTGTAACATTTCGGCCAAGAGGGCCTCCTCCTCTCTCGTGCTCTTGGTTGTGGGGGCACCGCTGTTCATGGTGGATGGTTTCGGTTGAATAATTGAAATAAAGAACCGGCGGTGTTTATTTGTTTTTTTTTTCGCTTTGG